TACCGAAGATCAACGTTTGGCTAAATCAGAGTCATTGTCGACGTCAATTACTATCTGACGCAGATGTTGTCAGGACATGGATGTTTTCGGACGTATCTTCACCGCATCAAGCATGATGATTCACCGAAGTGCCCGTCCTGTCCAGGAATCAATGAAGACGCGGAGCACGTTTTCTTTGAGTGCTCACGATATTACCCACAGCGAGATGAGCTGGAGATGATCCTGAAGAAGAAAATCCAACCAGAGACAATAGTAGAAGCAATGCTGTCATCAGAGGCTGCCTGGAACGCCGCAAACACGTTTGCAACAGAAGTCTTTATAGACTTGCGTTCCATCGAAAGAAAAAGAGCAAATGACAACTAGAAGAAAGGTAAAATAATACCTTAGTTACCAGAAGGAAGAGCAGTCGCTATATCCTCCCCCCACGAAGTAATGCCTAACGGCGGTTTCCATGAGGGATTAGAGGAAAGCGGAAAGGGTTTTAGGGTTTAGTGGGTAGGGGCGTTAGCGTCGAGTTTTAGTATGACGCTGCGTCGAGTCGCCACATATCTAGGCCAAACAGCTATGCCTAGAATCCGTAAAAAGGATTCCCCCCCTAAAAGAAGAAAAAAAAAAAAACACACACACACACGTACAGACAGATCATCGTGAAATAGTCAGGCAAGCTTCGTAGGACCTTGAAACGTCGAGATCCGATAAAAACTCTATTTTCGAAAAACGGGGTAAAAATAACTTCCCGATTTTTGAAAATTTTCAATTTTCTTAGCGGGAAGTTGAAAAAATTTTTTCTGTGTTTTTCTTATGGGAAATTGAAAATTGCGAGGCGGACAACCTTAATATTAATATTAAGGGTTCATATTTTAAAAGGCCTATTTTGGCATCTAAAAGAAACTTTTGAGCCTGGTTCCGAGAGAAAAAAAAATTTTGTTTTTTTTTTAAACGCCCTGATATACATACATACATACATAAATAAACTTTTGAGCCAATGCCATTTTTTGACATTACTGGATGACATGAAACGTATTGTGACAAAATTTTCTAAAAATTACGATATGAGACTGGCTACAATAGATACATTTCTAAAGAAATCAACTTAAGAATTGGGTTAATATATGGGGCATTCGCTACCAAATCGGCCACTTTTTTAGGTCGACCTCTCCAATTTTTCTGAAAATTTTATGTTTTCAATACCGTCAAAGAACACTTTCATGAATTTTTTCAAATTTTTTTGACCACGCGTTTCTGAGATATTGATTTTTTCCAAAATTCAAATTTTTTTTTGAAAGAGCTATAACTTCGCGAAAAATACAGCTATCGGGGTCCTGTTTTTTTCAAATTTTTTTTCTTAATGCTCTTTCAAGAAAAAAATACCTCTCTGATTTCCTCTGCTTTATTCCTATTTTTTTTTTAAGTTTTAAGCAAAAAAAACCTTTTTTTGAAATGTATGCTCCCTTCGATTTTTTTGAAAAAATTCTCAAAAAAACTTGGACAAATTTAGAAAGTTTTCAGATCAATCCGATCGAGAGCAGATGTTTCGTTCTATTTTTTTGTTAATTCAAAAATTTTTTTTTTTTGAAATTGCATGTATTTACTTTAACACTCTCATGCGTGTGCTCGGATAATTATTCTTTTGTACCAGAGAAAAAATTTAATTAATATGTTTCTAAATTTAGCATTTATTTATTAATTTAATGAATTCGAGTTTATTCGTAACATCAAAATATTTAGCTTCTTTCAAATTCATCATGGACGTATTAAGCGCCATCTTTTGACCACGATATCGACTAGATTTCTTCTTTATGTTAGTACAATTTTTGTTGGTTGCGTTGACTTTTATCACGGTATTGCACGCCTCATAGCGAAGCGAATTTTATATATAAAATTTTCTGAAAATTAAAAATATATAAATCTATTGATAAAATAATTTTTATTTATTTATTTATTTATTTATTCAATTTTAATGCCAAAGCAATGGCTGAATGGCAAGTGTATACATAATAATTACAGTAAAGTACACGTATTTTGTTTAATATTATTACAATAAATACTTAAGGTATAACTTTATAACTGTAGCATGTTGGATGAATGTTAGAACTATAAATATATGTAACATTGTTTTAAAATTTTAAGTTGAATTATTAGAAATTATTTGATATAATATAAGAGTCTTGATATAGTTAGGTATATAATTTAGTTAGTTACACATTTTTTTTATAGGTATGTTAATAATTAGTATATGTTATCATTGATAGCAATTTATCATCTAATTTAGTAGATTCAGTAGACCGGGTTCAGAAAATAGATTGTTAATCATGTCTGGCTATCCCGTTCCTGATTTAAGAAGAATTCGTAGGCACAGACTTTAAAGGCGTCAAGACTAAGTGAGTTCGTTACTTCAGTCGGAAGTTCCTTCCAGAGTCGGATAGCAGATACCACAAAGGAGTGTTCGAATGACGTTGTAGAAAAGTGTGGAATCATAAAGGAGATGTTATTTTTAGCTGCTATTCTCTCAGATCTTCTAATATCTGGAGGTTCATCCATAAAGAGATCTCTTAAGAACCTTGGTTTACCAATATTAAGAAGTTTATAGAAGAAACATGCCAAACAGTAACGTCTTTTGGATTTGATTGTAAGCCACTTTAGCGATTGTCTATGGGGAGTAATATGCTCATCATGTCTTAGATTGTAGATAAATCTAATCGAATTATTAGAAAGACGTTGCAGTTTATAATCCAATCTTTTAGATGAATCTATTAGTACTAAGGAGCAATATTCAATAATTGGAATAACAGTCGCTGTAATTAGGAGTTTGCGAGTAGAGGTAGATAGTATATTCTTCCTGTGTTTCAGACAATTTAAAGTAGCATAAACCTTCCGAGCTATTTGAGCCACATGAGCATCCCAAGAGAGATTGTTTGTCAAATGAATACCAAGATGTTTGGTTGAGTTCACATAAGGAATAATGTTACCATTAATGATTATTTGAGGAAGAATACAGCTTTCTAGGTGTTTAAGTTTTCTACTACTTCCTAAGATCATAATTTTAGTTTTTTGGAAGTTTACTTCAAGGCCTACCTCCTTAGCCCAATCAACTACTGCTTTACCATCAGTTATAATTTTATTTGCGGCATCATTTAGCTGTGGGAGCTTAAAATGAAGATAAGCGTATTTGTCATCCGCAAATAGTCCGTGTTTGGAGTGATTTAATTTCTTCGATATTCCATTAATGACAATTAAGAAGAGAATTGGTCCCAGGATAGATCCTTGAGGAACACCAGATGTAGTGCTGATAGCATTTGATGGATTAGAGTCCACGTTGAGTGTGGATTGTGATCTGCCCGTCAGATAGGATTGAAACCAGCTTATAACCTCGATTGAGAGACCCATTTCATACATGGTGATGTACAGAACCTCAGGCTTCACATAATCAAAGGCTTTCGTGAAGTCAAAAAGTATGAGATAGGTTAGTTCGTCTCTATCAATAGCATTACGAATATCATCGGTTAGTAGTAATAAAGCTGCTTGAGTGCTGTGGTATTTCCGGAACCCTGATTGATAGTCATCCAATATATTATTTGTTTCGAGGTACTCCATAAGTTGATTGGCCACTATACGTTCAAAGACTTTGGCTAGATGGGCTATATTAGCTATGGGTCTAGTATCTGACATTGACTTCGGTGGATTTATCTTATTTAAAGGTATGACGAAGACAGATTTCCAAGCATCAGGGAATGTACATGTATATAATGAGCAATTAAAAATGGCCATTAGATATAGTGAGATCTGTGGCAGGTAATCTCTCAACCACTTGAGGTCTAGTCCATCAGGGCTTTTGCCTTTTGATTTTTGAAGCGTCATTTGAAGATTTTTGGTGACATCAACTATGTCAACTTGAGACCAATTAAAGACACAATCGACTTTTCTGGTGGCAACAGATGGCAGGTTATTTACAAACTCACGAGAGCATGATGGATGTTTCCTAACAATGTTCGCATAGAATGTATTAATTATTAATTTCTTAATTATTAATTTATTAATTATTAATTTAATAATTATTAATTTATCAATTATTAATTTATTAATTATTATTTCATTAATTATTAATTTATTAATTATTAATTTATTAATTTTTTAATAATTTAATAAATTTTTAATAACTTATTAATTTTATACAACTTCATTAAGCCTTTGTTGGAGATATAGCAATATAGTAATATTCGCACGTACACTACACACACACACACACACACACACGACGACGCGTCGATTTACTGCGCATGCAGTTGCGCTGTACTATTGTATACTTGAGTACTTATCTATTAGCACGTTGTCGAGTCAAGTCCTAGCATTCATTTCTACTGTTGTAATTAGTCACTGAATAAATTTATACGTCGTTTATATTAAATCTGCTCTTATATAATTTATATCAACTCTATCCCTGCCTAACTCCCACAGCCTTTTTGATGAATCGTTGTTTAAAATATCATAGGATTTAATAACTTTTAATAAATCATTTATTAAATACAATTTATTAACTTTTAATGAATAGTTGTTAACTATTTCTAGAAATCATTTAGCTGTTCGGGGAAAGAGGATAGGATTTTTTTTTTTTTTTATAAAATAGATTGTAAGTATAGAATCTATAAATTACTCGTTGAGGCAAAAAGCTCTAAGTCTCATTGAGCGGGCCAAAAAAAAGTAAATAGATTTAGCTCTCGAGACATTAGAATTATATAATAGGGTGGACAGCTGGTCGGTAGTGTCAATAGTGAGAATATTGGGAGCAAGTAGAGGGGATATAAAGTGATCTCTGTACGGCTTATAAATGGGACATTTAATAAAAAATATATGTTCCAGGGTTTCTTTTTCATCCAGGTTACAGATGGTGCAAGGTATTTGGTGGTTAATTATATAATTAAATCTATTAAAACTTAGTTTGACATAGTGATGACTTGCCAGTCTAGTCTGTGCCAGGACTCTCGCTATGTATAAAGGATTGTTTACAATGTAGTTGGCAGTGCTAGAGCCCAAAAATCTGGAAATCGATATTTGACAAGATGCTTTGGATCTATGATGTCAAGGTCAGAGAGTCTGAGATGGGCTGAGTATAGTTTGGTGATTGACGGAATCTGACTTCTCCAGTAAGCACTGGTTAAGTTGCTCCAAATGGAAATAGGAGCATTAAAAGAATCTAAAATAAGTCTGAGCTGGGTGACCCAGTTATATTTCGGATCGGATCTGGGGTTTTTTGACAGTTGGAGAAGTCTGTAGAAGCAAATTTTGGGGATACGGTGGTCTCTCATATCCAGTAGCTTACGAATCCATTTAAGTGTTGCTCTCAGTACTCTGACCTTAACATTTGACATAGCTAGTTCGTGTTTGAGTTCTGCACTGGGTGTACCGAGGGGATGGAGGAGAAGCCTCTTGAAGAACTGTAGCTGGGATTGTTCAAGAATGTCGAGGTAGCAAAGACCCCAAATATGAGAGGCATACAGTAGGGTGGTGGCTACAATACTGTCATATATCCTGAGTGTGCCCTCCCAAGATTCAGTACATATACTTGCCAACGCAGAGATAGCAGCACCAGAGGCTGTTCGAGCTCTCTGCGCTGCCGCCCTGGCTGCTGTCAAGCCCAACGACAAGCCCATGAAGGAAACACCCAGGTACACATATTCCTCCGACCAGTCCACAGGGTTATCTCCATAAAGGAGGTTCGTCCTTTCCCTCGGACCACCTCTTCTGAAATGTACACATTTAGTTTTCTCTAAGTTAACAGAGAGGGAGTTGATAGAACAATAATCTCTTAGTACAGTAAGCTTTTTCTTTAGGTCGAATGTCGTATTAGCAAGTAAAACTAAATCGTCAGCATATAAAAGCATACAGAGATCTATGAGACTATTGATTCGAACTCCTGAGATACCTTTGGCCCTATCAAAATCAACTATGTCGTGAATATACAATATAAATAAAATCGGACTCAATATTTCACCCTGGAGAACCCCCTCCGTGACCTCGAACGACCCCGAGAGAGCGCCACCGACCTTGACTTGCAATTTGGCTTTTTCATAAAGGTTTTTTAATATTCTAATCAACTTAGGACTAACACCAAGGGCAAGAAGCTTTCTCCAGAGGCTGCCGTGAGACACGGAGTCGAAGGCTCTTTTGAAGTCTACAAAAACACCGTATAGTCGGCCGCTCTTGTTAGAGAGTTTCAGATGTATAGCCGATTGAAGAGCAAAGATATTATCATCACAGCTTTTATTTGCGTTGAAACCCGCTTGCTCGTCCGGCAAGACCCCAGCATGGTCAATCCACTGTATCAGCCTGTTTTTTAATGCTGAAGTAAATATTTTGGTAACAATATTGACCATAGCAAGTCTTCGATAGTTATTCGAGTCAGATCTGTCACCTTTTTAATGCAACATGAACATGGCAACACATGCCCAGTCATCAGGGACTTGCTCGGTGTACAAGATTTTGTTAAATAGTGACTGAATATAAAGAAGCCAATTGTTAGGCAAATTTTTGTAGAATTCAGCAGTGATTGAATCCATACCGGGGGCCTTGCCATCTTTAAGGGAGGAAATGCTCTTAGTTATCTCATCAAATGTAAACTCGGCATCTAAAACCGGGTCAAGCACACCAAAGTATAAACAGTTATCCAAAAGTCTCGGAGGGTAGATGTTTTTGTAAAACTTATTCCAAGTTTCAAGAGGCAATGGAGGTGGATGTGATTGTCTTCTAAAGTTGTTAAAAGTATGCCAAAACTGAATGCTGTTATTAGTATCAGAGAAGCGTTGAACGATTTGGAGCTTATATGAAGAGGATTTGGATTTTAGGAGTGTCTCCTAAGATTTTTTGAGGTTCAGGAAGTTTAATAAACTGGGTTGAGAAAAACCTGCAGCTTTAGTTGCTTTTAATGCTAGCCTTAGTTGATTCTTAACAGTAGCGCAGTCTCTGTCAAACCACGGTTTGTTTAATCTATTCTGGATGTTGGTGGATTGTGTTTTTGACATACCAAGTGCTTTGGCAGTGGAGTAAATTGTTTCCGTAAGTTTTGAGCTGAGAAGGTCCGTAGAGTCAGTGTCAAAAGAAACTTTTAAGTGTTGAGACCATAACATGTCGTGGAGATACTTGGGCTGGAGATTTTGTTTCCAGAATAATTTGTCAGAGGGAATATAGCTGTGAAAGGAGGGCTCTGCATGGGGAACAAGACTGGGAAACACCAATGAGAGGAGGACAGGAAAATGATCGGAAGTTGTGGGAGTGGAGATGACTTGCATATCAGACACGTATGATATACCGAGGAGGTTAGTCCAGATAAGATCAATTACGGATTTGCCTTGTGATGAGCAGTAGGTATGTTGTGCAGGCGAGTCCCCAGGTAATCTTCCATTTAGCAGGATAAACCCATTGGTTTCGCAAAAGTCTGTTGATAGAGAACCTCTGGGAGAAGAGAGAGGGTCCAAGGAAGAGTGATAAGGGAGTAAGGAGCTACCGGAAACAATGTCTTCATGAACGGCACCTTGAACACCAACTCGGGCGTTGAAGTCACCACCCAGGACAATTAGGTCATGCTTGTGGGTAGTTTGAACTTCACACAAGGTTGCTTGTAACATGTCTAGTATATGATGGAGCGTTAGTGAAGGGCTAAAATAAACATTAAATAAAGCTCCAATCGTCCGACGACACCCTGACAAACAACCACCAGGGTGAGATATCAAGAGACTCGTAGTTGAATTTTTTGTTTATACCGATTAGTTACTCCACTAGCTCTCCCAACATCATGCAACTTGGTAGCCTGTGAAAAAAGTATGTTAAAATTATTGAATTCATTGGAGACAGTAACTGGGGTGGTTGACCAGGTTTCGTTTAAACAAAAGATGTCAAACTTACTTAGAGAATCCCAACTACTGACACTACCTAGACCATGACAATTCCAAAATACTATCCTCAAATTGTGTTTTTTGGTGGATTATTGTGAGGAGACTTTGTCGAAGTGTTGTGACGCCTGGAGGGTCCGTTGGCTCCTGGTTGAGGTGGCATTCCAGTGACCGAGGTGGTGAAGTCCATGGGTGATGGAGAAGAAGAGCGTGAGTCAAGTGGTGCAAGACCACTGGCCGCTGCGCGCTGTAGTCTAGCCTTTTGTATTGCCTCGTATTCGGCTCTGCATTCGTCCGGAGTCCGATCATGATCGATGTAAATCTTTTTTAGGCCTAAACTTTTCTTCTTCATTATTTCAGCTTTGAGGGCCTGAGACGTTATTTTGGCTTTGATCATGTTACCAGTTTTGCCGATCAAGGTAGCGTATTCCACACTATTCGCAACGTCAAAGTTATCGCGAAGAAAAGTGTCAACAAATGTACGAAGTCTGTGCCTAGGAATGTGGGCAGCGTCAAGACCTTTAATTATTATGTTGGCTAGTCGATGGTGTTTGTCAAATGTGTCAAGTCTTTTGTTTAGCTTCTCCAGGTAATCCTTGACGTAGTTGTCGATCAAAGGCGAGGGTTGAGAGGCTGGAATATAAAGTTGAGAAGATTCGGGTGCAGAGTCATTTTGTAGTTAAGCTTCAAGGCTAGCGAGCCAATCGTCTATGGTAGAAAATTTTGAGTTGTAAGTTTCATCATTATTGAATATTATTGTCGATAAAACCTGAAGAGCAGTCGCGTTGTTCAATTTAATCTCAGTTATCTCGGTTCTGAGCTCTTCAATGATTGACAATTTATCCTCAATTAATTGCTGGATTTTAATAGAGAGAACCTCCACTATTCCTTCCTGTAAACAGGTGAAGGTAGCAGGGTCAAGAGTTAATCTCTTTTTCAGAGATTGGTTGTCCTCACTGTCAGAGAGTTCCTCGGCATCCCGAATTCTTTTCTTGATGTTATTGTTGAGCAATTCGACTGGTGATCAGAGAATGTCCGGGTTTGTGATGTAGTTTGGGATTGAGGCTGCAACTGCTCTCTATCGTCATGAGAAGGTACTAGCTTGGTAGCTGAGTCATTAGAGAGAGAGGTAATGTTAGAATTAGAGGATGCCATTATTAAGTATAGTACGTAGATACAAATGACTAACGGAAAACCATCCAATTGTTTTCACAAAAATTACGAAATACACTCTTAAAAAACACACAAACAGTTATACCAGCAAAAACAGCTAGATTTATAATCCAAAAATAATCAAGCAGATATTTTATAGGCACCTTTGAATACCCAAAACAATAAATAAATCAACAGAGTAAAATACAGAGGTCAGCACTCATGCGGCCATCTTGCCAACCTCCTGATGCCGTACTGATTAACTCACTATTTATTTATTTAACTATGTATATATTTCTACTTTTTATTACTTTTCAATTACTTATGACTATGTTATTTATATCAGGATAAAACTTTATTAATGTATGTAATGTATGTAATGCTTGTAATAATGTATGTGCAATTTGACTAGTCTAACTATAGGTATCATTGCTGTAAGCTAAGCTTGATAAGCAATTTATTTAATAAATAAATAAATAAATAAATCATTTAGCTGTTAATAAATGTACTTCCCTCAAAAAAATGAATTTATATAAGTTTATTTATATAAGTTCATTATATTTGCAAACATTTCATTCCTAATTCCTTAGAAAAAATTAGCATCCGTATTTCAAATAAAATTATTAAACAGTTGTAAATTTATTTCACTAAATGATTTTCATTTGAAGAAAACTACGTAGCTTTGCTTTTATCTCCTCCCCCTCGTTATGTAGCTCTACGTAGTATTCAATCGTACCCCTTCCCCCTCTCGCAAGGCTACGTGGTTTATGGACGCTCCCTGGTGGTGTCCGTGCAGCTGCAGGTGTGTGTGTTTGTGTGTGAGTGTGTGTGTATGTGTGTGTATCAGATAAAAATAAGTGGCGATCTAAAGAATATAGTTGCTGTTAAATTTCGTGAAAATTTGAATCGATTCAGTTAGGTAGATTTTGAGAAATGTCAAAAATAAAATTTTCAAAAAATTGTTTTTTTGGAATAACTTCTAAACGGCTCTACCGATCAATTCCAAAAACTAATCTGCTCTTAAGATTGAAAAATTACGTCGATTGTTACCAGTTCCGTAAAAATCGGTTGATTCATTCCGAAGTTATCTAAAACGATAAATTTCGATAAAAGTTTTTTTTTACATAACTTTAACATTAAATTTTCGATTATTTTTGATTAAACAAAAACAATCACTAGAGCCCAGAAAACGACGTCAATTGCTGCCAAAAACGTGAAAATCGGTTCATTGGTTCGTGAGTTATGGTTGTCGGAAAAATTCGGAAACAGTTAATTTTTCAAGTTTCTCTAAAATTTTCGGTTTGATCAATTTGTGTTCAAAAGTATACTATAGAATTCAAAAAACTGCGAGGAATGCTGCCAACCACGTGAAAATCGGTTAGTTCATTCAGAAGTAATTGCGATTAAAAAATCAAAATATACTGTTTTATTACTTTTTAACTTTCCGCTAAGAAAATCAATGATTTTAGAAAAATCGGGAAGTTATTCGTCTTACCCTGTTTTGTAAAAATCGAGGTTTCAACAGATCTCGACGTTTTGAAACCCTAAGAAGCTTCCCTGACTACCCCCGCGATGGTGTCTGTATGTATGTATGTATGTATGTGTGTGTGTTTTTTTTTTTTTAAAGACACCGCTATCATTGAAAGATGATGGTCGGTAGTGTGGGATTTTTACCCACTAACAAAAACTCCTCTCTCTTCCCCCGTGGATGGTACGGAGATGACTGAATCGGAACCGCGTAAGCATTACCTCAATTCAGTCCGTGTTGCGTCTCACGACGGTTTCTCTTAGTTACTATTCTCTTTCTGCGGTTTTTTCTTTTAAAAGACGCTGTGCATAGACTGTGACAGCTGACCAGTTATCTTCTTTTTCGATCATGCAGGTTACCAAGCTCTCAGGGGGAGAGCGTGGTGCCAATAGTTTTTTCAGTGCTACTTTTGTAGTCCTTCCGCGGATCACACTCGAAGAACGTGTGCTCGGCGTTGTCAATTTTGTCTGGGCAGTATTTGCACGTTGGTGTGCTGTGCAAACCCATCTTGAAATGATAGGCATTGAACTGCCCGTGTCCCGTCAATAGTTGGGTCAGGAAGAAGTCCGTTTCTTCGTGCTTCCGAGAAAGCTAGGCGGTTATGTTCGGAATCAGGCGGGCCGTCCATCTGCCTGTTTTCCCGGTTGTCAATCGGTCTTACCACTCATGTAGCGTTTCTGTCTTTTCCTTTGCTCTTGTCTCCTTAGAGTTGTCACCATTTATTTTGGCGTCATAGATTTTAAGCCTCTCAAATGCTAGTAAGTCGATTGGCGCGGCTCCTGCTATGACCAATACGGCCGCTTCTGAGACCATTCGGTAGGAACAGGTTACTCTGAGTGCTCCTCGTCGTTGCACTGCCGCTATCTTGCGCCGGTAGGTCTTTTGTTTAAGAATATCTGCCCATATCTCCGCTCCGTAGAGTAATATCAAGTGGACTACTTCTGAAAGCACCCTCCTTTTTCTGGTTCATGGTCCCACCATGTTGGTCATGATTCTCGACAGGTTTGATACTTTTTTGTTAGCTTTTGCGCAAGCGTTTTCGAGGTGTTCTCGGAAAGACGGCTTTTCGTCGAACACTACTCCTAAATAATGCAGTGCCCTTTAGAAGTCAGTGTTGTCCCGCCCATGTCAATGAAGAAAGGTTTTGGTAACCATTTTTGACGTGTTAAGACGACCATTTTGGTTTTCTGCTTCGCGAGTTTTAGATGATGTTTCTCAAGTCAATTTTCAAGGGTGTCGATGGTTTCCCTAACCAGTAGTTCTGCCTATTCGGCACTGTCTACTACTATCGTAGCTGCGACGTTGTCCGCAAAGCCCGTGAGTTGCACTTGCTTTGGCAGCGGAATTTTCCAGGTGTTCGTCATAGTCCGCTTTCCATAGGTCGGGCCCTATGATTGAACCTGGCGGCACGCCAACCGTTATGTCATGTTCTTGAGGGCCTTCCATCGTTTCTGCTATCAGCGTTCGTTTGTCGAGATAGTCTAAGTCATCAATTATTGCTAGATTTTCTGGCTTCATGTCGAATTTGTGCTCCAAGGCATCTAGGTTGTCACCTCAATTCGCACTGTTGAAGGCGTTTTTGATATCTAGTGTGAGGACAAGACACGCCTTGCAGGCTTTGAGCCTACTAAACCATGCTTCTCTTGCTGTCCCTACGACTTTCTGGATTGCACCGATTGTCGACCGTCCTCTCCAGAAGCCATGTTGGTTTGTGGCAAAGCCTCCAGCTCGATCGATGTCGTTGCGTAGTCTTCCCTGTATAAGCTTTTCAAGCAGTTTCCTTGCAATGTCGAGCATGCAGAGTGGTCTGAACGACGAAGGTGTTATAGGGCTACCTTTTCCTTTGTCTAAAAGAACCAATCTCTGCCTCTTCCAAGCCGTTGGAAAGCATGCGTTGAAAGCGTTCAATAGTATATCTGGGTCTTCCAGGGCTACAATCTTGATCACCGATGCCGGGATACTATCAGGGCCAGGTGCTTTTCCTGTCTTGAGAGTCTTCGCCGCATCCTGTAGTTCACTGGTTGTGAAAGGTGTTACGCTGTTTTTCGTATGGTGTCTTCTTTCCTGTGGTGAATGTTGGGGAAACAGCTCCCCTACGATGCTGTTCATTAAAACAGGTGGTTTACTTGCGGCATACTTGCGTCAATTTCAGCGGCATACTTGCAGCAATTTCTTTCATCGAAATTAGTATTGTTTTTTCAGTCTCGCAGCGGGTCTTTGGAGTCGGGTTGTTTTGTAAAGTTGACCAGCTTTGTGTGAGTGCCTTTCGCAGTGCCTCTACATCAAGCTTCCTGACGTGCTACTTCCGCTTAGAAAGCTCGCGTTGTGATACCGGAGCAGATGCTAGTCCAACGTTGAATGTCACAAATCGATGATCACTGCTACTGTATTTTTTGGATACATTCCAGACAAAACCTGCTCTACTTCCGCTATTGTTGCGGTAACGTTCCTCGTGTTCACAATCCAGATTGCTGCCGTTCCAGTTTCATGTGGGAACCATGTTCTATCTT